ATCCATTCCGTACTCTGTTACTTTTTGAACGCTCTCTGGAGAAAACACATCTTTTCCTTTTGAATTCTCTTCTCTTTGATTTTAGATTTAATCTTGAAGGTGAATAATCTCAAGATTTTGTTTTCGGATTTAGCTTTTGGATTTGGATTGCTCTTGTTTTCGACATTGGTTTTCTTATCAATCGTAAGCATCTTTTCTCGTTTAATTATGATGTTGTGTGCTTGGATTGTTATGAGTTCTTATGTTCAAATTACTATGAGTAGCTAAATCTTTTGTTGGGGATAGGAGATATTCGTGTTGGTTCGTTCGTGATTCATGTATGTTTGCTTACCATTCAATCTATTCGAGTTGTTCTTAATATAGGGTTAGATGTTTGATCACCATTCTAATCTAATTAATCAATTTGTAGAACCGAAAGGGGAGAAATTGGTTGAACGTGGCTCGTTTAGAATAGGCTTGTTCGTCAATGTATTGCCTATGTGTTGATTGTTCAGATAGTGAATTGCTTGTGTTTGTTTTCTTGTTACGGACAGTTATTGAAAACAAATTTCTAAACGAGTAAGTTATTAGATCTCTTAACCGAGTGGATAAGCAATTAATAGTTGTTGAGAACCATACGCGAGTATCTCCGATTCCTCAACTTCCCCAACCTTATCTGAATTTCGTTTGGATCTAATAGTTCGTTTGTTTTTATTTATTCATTTGAGTATTCGTAGTTGATAATTAAAAAACCAACAATTTGAATTAGAGTGTTTAGATTTTGTTCCTTTCTTTTTGTGTGTTTGAATAGTCGTGCAGTTTATTCCGGCTAACCTTCCTTGAGTACGACCCGGTGTTGAATCTTTCGATTCTACTCCGGTTAAAAATATTTACAACAGAGCTTCGGAGACGGTTGAGGCTATCCGGAAGCATATCCGGTCAGCCCAAGAGAGGCAGAAAGTCTATGCCGACCGAAAGAGGGGTGAGCATGAGTATGCCTTGGGAGATCATGTCTTCCTGAAGGTTTCGCCTATGAAGGGCGTGATTCGCTTCGGGAAGAAGGGGAAGCTCAAACCGCGTTATATTGGGCCCTTCGAGATCCTTGCCCGAGTCGGGAACTTGGCTTATCGGCTGGCTTTACCACCTAGCTTGTCGGGAGTGCATGACGTGTTTCACGCCTCTATGTTGCGGAGATACGTGCATGATCCCACTCACGTGGTGGACTTCGGCGAACTGCAGGTCGAGCGAGACCTTACCTATGAGGAGGTACCGGTAGCTATTTTGGACCAGAAGGTCCATCAGTTAAGGAACCGGGCAGTGAGCTTGGTGAAGGTGCTTTGGAGCCGACATGTCGAGTCGGAGGCGACTTAGGAAAAGGAGGCCGAGCTTCGGAGGCGGTACCCGAACTTTGAGTTTTGAGTTCCCTTGTATTTTATTTCGCTTTCTAGACTTTCATTTTCGAATTCCGAGGACGAAATTCTTTGTAAGGTGGATAGACTGTAATACCCCGTTTTATCGTGGATTATTCAGGAATAAATATTGATATTTGCTATTATTTTATTGTCTTTATTATTATTATTATTATTATTATTATTATTGTCATTAAATGTCTAATTATTTTAAATGCTTGTTATTATTAAAATATATTATTGTTTGTATTATATATATATATATAATGTCCAGTTTTATTTTAATTCGTACTGTGGCATTTCGTAATCGAGCTTGAGATTAATCTTTAGACCAATTTGAATTGAACCCTAAGCCCAT